ACCATGGCCAGACTGCTGTCCGTAGGTCCGCCAAGAGGCTTGAACTCATACCTTGGCTCCAAAACTACCTTAGCCAGGGGGGTTTAATGCCTTACGGAGCCTTTTGCAGTGTTTCAGTAGGTGTCTGGATTGGGTAGAGACCAGCGCAGGGTCACTAGTCGTAAAGCAGATGCATTAATGACCACTCATTACTGGAAACACCTTTGAGCTATGGCACCTCGTGCTCTCTTCCCAAAGACCCTGGACCTTCCTTTTCCAGTCTCCTGCCGCCAAAACCCACTCGCTGTGAAAATCTCATTTTGAAACCATTTTCTGCATATTAGAAAGGTCTCGTTGCCCATGACCCAGAGAACACGTTGTGCTCCCCAGCACCTGGGTGTGATGTCGGCCGCATCCAAACCAGAGCCAACCCCGCACGGAGAGGGGAGCTGGGGAGAACCTGGAGCACCAGGGGGCTGTGGTTCCTGAACCCCCAAGTAAAGGGAGCGAGCTGGTGGGGCTGAGATCTGCAGGGAGTTTAAATTAAATGTTTTTCCTCTTTTCTAAAGTAATCTTTTTCTCTTTTGTTCCCATCCATACTTCCAGCCAAAACCTGGGAAAAATTCTTCCAAAAATACATTTCCATTCAGTTGGCAAATATTTTCCCTCCCTCATTATTTCCTCTGTTTGAGGAAGAAAATTTTCAATATTTGGAGACAAGTGTTAAGATGAGTGAACAGAAACAAGGGATATGATGCCACTTAGTGGAACATAGTTAGATAATAATAAAGAACAGTATTCCAACACCTACGATTCAAATTTTTGGTCACCTCTATGAGATGGTGTTCTTAATCCTGATGTGCACTGGGGACTTCCCAGGGTACCAAGCTAAAGTCAAGGCCTGCAAAACCTTTGCTGTGCAAAGCTAGAATAAAAAGTTCCCCTTCCAACCTTACTGATGCAGGTCCATGGTACTTGGTATTTTGCAGAACAGTAGGAAAATCGGGGATGCAATAAGTTCAGGGCAGATGCAGATGATTGCAAAGGCGATGTGAGTTGCTGCGTGAACATCTCACAAGACAGTAAGATCTTTCCGAGCAATGTTAACAAACAGAGGGAGAGAGAGGACAACTCTGCTCTTGGCTTTCCCCAGTTCCCTACCAGGGCAAAGCCAGGATGATAAAACTCAAAGCACTATAAGAACACAGTGAAAAGTGCCCAGAAAAAAAAAAAAAAAAAAAAAAAAATAAAAACAAAGAAGGCAAAAGCAACCCTGCAGAAATACCCAAACCAATAGCTGCACTACCTCCTGCAGGCAGTGGGGATGGACACGAGCCACTGCTGCCCTGCCACAGCCTGGCTGCTGATAAGGAAAAGCCTCTTATCTCTCCCCTACCCCTCCTGTAAATACACCCCAGCCCCTACACTCTGCAGAAGTGCCAGGCCTGCAGAGGCTTTGGTTGGCAGCAGCAATATTAGCGTGTTCGCCGGCGCTTTACAGTATTTTTAGCCCGCCTGACATTAGCAAAGTGCAAGTTTTAAAAAAAAAAAAAAAAGGACAGCCTTGATTTGGCATGTGTATAAAAAGGATAAGGGGCTGTTGGGAATTGTCTGCCTTTTGCAAGCGGCGGGGAGCCACGGCTGTGTTGCGGGCAGGGTGAGTAGGAACACCCCCCCCCTTTTCCAAAGGCTTTGCTGGCTCTGCCTGTAGCCCCCCGTGCACGCTGCTCGGGGTCTCCCCAGGGACACCCACCACCACACAGACCCACTGGAGATCATTTCCCAGGGTTTTGTCACCCCTCTGCGTTTATTCCCTCAGCTCCATTCATTTCCTTACCTGTACCATAGCAGGACAAAGTGCCACATCCCCACGTGGAGTGCCCGGGGTCTGGTGTAGCTTTGCTTTGGTGGCCCATTATGGTCCTCCCCTATCTCCTGACCACCTCCACCTTCTTCACCCCAAGGCCTCCTCAGCCCAACAACTCTTTCGCCAACTCAGCACTCCCCAAAGTATTTCTCTTCCCCTCTCCAACCCCTGCCAGGCTGGTTACTATGGGAGGGATGTTGCAGAGATGCCAGATGGTCTCTCTCTGTTCATCTTGGGGAGGTTTTCTATTTGACCCGTTGTACCTCTAAGCTGCTGCCATTACAGCTCATAAAAGCAAAATAATTCCTGAACTCCCAGCATTGAAACTGCACAGAGCTGCCAGTGATAATGTTGCCTGGGGTACTTTAAAATCCCATTTATCTGCTCGTAGTGTGGTCAGGGCAGACCAAAACTCATGCCCAGGAATGTGAGTCAAGAGCCTGCTGATAGCACAACCGTCCCTTGGGAAGGTGCAGGGTGTTTCTCCTTTTCAACCCCCCGCCCCGACCCGCAGCAGCCAGCCCTTCTCTCACCTCTCCTTGAGCCCCCTGCAATGGCACCTCCGGGCTGAAACATCCCCTCCGGAGATGGTGTTTCATGGATTAATGTGTTATCAGCTCTGGGCACTACGGGACATGGGGAAAGGGCTGGCCACCCCGCAGGTGCGAGCAGAGGTTGCACTAAGATCAATGGTCACAAAGACCCATCCTCTCTAACCACGGATTAAATCTGTGGGGAAAGTAAAAAAGCAGCAGTCCCCTATTATCCTCTTCTCTGACTGTTGGCAAGTAGTGATTTAGGGATTTCTGAGGCAGCGGCTGTGTATGAAGCATCGTGTTTAAGGCATGGGGAGAGGAAACCGTTTGAGCTAATGTCAATGTGGTATTTTTCCTCCAATTTCTTTTGAAGCCATAAATACAGAAGTGACATGGAATTGAAATAAAACACTTGGTTTGAATCCAAGAAAAAAGTGCTCAGATGAAAAAAATAAAACTGGGCGAGTGAGGATTTTTACATTTGCGGTCATCTGGAGAGAACCCAGTTTTTCCAGTATTTCTGAGACTGTGGCTAAGTGTCGAGGGGACGTCTTCCACCCTCGTCCCAAGCTATTCCCTTCCCAAATGCCATGTGGGAAGACAGCACACAGACCAGTGCTCAAAAAACACAACTGGGGAAAAATTGAGGTTAGAGCCCCCCAATCCCTGTGACGTAGGGTACACTTTGCAGAAACAAGCCCTGCCGAAGCAAGCAGAGAAGGCTAGGGCTCCTGGCATCTGCTGGGATTTATTTTTTGGAGTTACTATGCCCAGTTCGTGTCAAGTAACGACCGTGAAGGATTAAGAAGTGGCCTCTTGTTGCTCACTTAGAAAGTGGCAGGCAAAATCCTTCTCTGCCTGTGACAGCGGGTGTCTGCGCCTGGGGACGGGAGAGCAGCCCAGCAGCGACCGCAGCTCACACACACAAGGACAACTTGAACGTGTCAACAGCTGGGCACCAACTATTCGTCTCTGCGGGCTCAGATGTGGTCCGGGAGTAAATAGAGAATGTACAGCCTCAGCGGGCCGTGCAAAAACGTGACGGCGGCGGGGTTGTTCGGGCTCTGGTACGGCTGTCCTGCAAAGAAAAAGATCCCACGCACTTAGGACCTACCTAGGGGACATCCTCCCGTTGGGGCATCCTTTGGTTATCCGAGCATCCAGCACTGGATTAACTCATGGGTGCTGTTTACGTACTCTCAGTGTTGATACGTGCATGTGTGTGTTAATAAGAAGAAAAAAATGGCAAGCCTGGAGTGGTCACGGTCTCCTCTCCCTTCTGGAGAAGGCTGTCCTACCTCTGCAAGCCTCAATCCCAAGCAGGGAGGGGAAAAACCAGGATAGCAGAGAGAGGGATGAGTGACATCCTGCTTTCCTGGAAGAGCGAGGCCAGTGCCCCAGTGCAGCTGTTGAAAACCCAGTCTGCTTCCACATGGGAGAGGCTGGATGAATACGGAGAGTGACATTTCTGGGCTACGCTGAGTGGCTCACAGCAGGCTCTGCTATTTGCATTGCACAAATAGTCATTTTATGATTAAAAACAACAACAGCAAATAGAAGCTAAACCAAGATAAAACAAGCGAGTGCTGTGCAGATGTTGAGGGCATGCAAGAGCTGGCTCTACCCACAGCTTTAACCCCAAAACCTCGTTTTTCCTGGATTTCACCTTTCCTTCTACTTTTTCACGTATTTTCTCCTGCAGACTTCTCACTCAACACACCTACATTTCAAGAGCTAAACAATAATACAGATGACATTTTTCTGCAGAACCTGGATGGCAGAAGCAAATCCGAGCAAAACAATAAACATACTGGGTGGGTGTCCTCCTAAAGGAAAGATTTTCTGACAGATGTACCTCTCTGGAGCACCAAACCCCTAATTATAATAATTCTTTGTTCTCCTTGATTCCTGACTCTGGGGGAAAGGAGAAATGATATGTGAATAGTTCTAGTTTCATGTAGGGAAACTGAGGCACTCACCCATTCCCTGCACCCACTTGCAATCCCTTCCAGCACATGTAAATGTCTCCTTGACATGTATTTGTGAAAGGAATAACTCTGATTTTTCTACTCCCTTCCAGTGCAGAGATGTAACTGCTGATAACCCACCACTGGATCTCCAACTATCCAGAAAAAACAAAACAAAACAAAACAAAACAAATCAAAACAAACAAAAAAAAACAACAACAACAACAACAAAAAAAACCTATTTGCACTTGGAAACAGGCCAAGGGCTTCTCTGTGGCACTGCCATCCCACCTTATTTCTGGAATTAGTAAAAAATCAGTGCTTTTGGCTAAACCCAGCTGGCCAAATCCTGATTTGCTGTAATTAACCATATAGACAGGCAGGCTCTGAAGTAATTGGTGCCGAGCACATTCTTCTTTTGAAAAAAAATCATCTGTCTTTCCATCCACAGAACTCTGTGGCTTCTTCACCCCCTTACCCACCACACGGATGAAGACCAGCTACGACCGAGGCAAGTCATCCAAATCCCAGACTATCAAAGCAAACGAGACGACTCCCTCCCGTTGCTCCAGGAGTGGCAACCACCATGACAAGCAAAGCACCCAGAGCACATCAAGACAGGCCCATTCCAGGACCCATGGAGAAAACGTGATGCCATCCCGGGCAGAAAACATCATGCTTGGCTGGAGGGCAGCTCAGCTGTCAGATGTCTGTAATGGCAACTTTCCCCTGGGACACGTTTCTGAAGGGATCAGCTGCAAGACCTCAGAGAAGCTCCCTCACCAAGTCACCGACGCGAACAGGAACAAGGAGAAGGTGCCAAAGAAAGTCTCAGCTACTCAAAAAGTAGGAGAAGAGCCCAAAGATTCTCCCTTCAAGACGGTTTTCATGTTTTGGGCCAACAAAGTTAATAACAGCAGCAAAACAACTACCTCCCAAAAGCTACTGCAGAAGTCGTCCGTGACTGCGGGAAGCTGCTCTCCAGCCCTCCTTCCCGAGGAAGGGCTTAGCAGCTTGGAAGAAGAGAAGCAGGCTAAAATTCCCCAGAGGAAGACCAGGAGAGATCTCTTCTCTGACTTGCAGGTTTTCAGCCACATAGACACCCACGTCCTACAAGTGAGCCAGCAGGTAGGTCCTGGTGTCCTTCAGGAGGAACACGGATGGTGCCACCAGCAGATCCACATCCTAACATTCAACTTTTCACCATATGCTCTGATGACAGCAGTGACAAGGTGGTGCCTGACAGCAAAACCAGGAGGTCTCACACGGCCCTGGGCTGTGAGTTTGTCCCAGCCATGGCCAAAAATCTCTGTGCTACCTCTGAAGATCTGCTGCCCACCCAGGGCCCAGCGTTGCCTGTTTCCAGACAGCACTGGTGTGTAGCTGCAATACGCAGCGCTTGCTGCAGCTCAGCATGCAAAACTGGGAAGAAGGGCTGGTTTCATCATGGGGCAGGATTGTTTCAGGGTCCCAAACGGGATTGCAGTGGGCTAGAGGGATCCTAGAAACCCTTCTAGGAAGGGTGTGAGGATAACAGAAAGAGATTCGGATCACAGGATGCCCCAAGACAACACAAGCTGAGTTTAGGTAGCCTGGGAGCTGGTGAGCCAAAAAACACATGGAGCCAGCAATAACCCCATGTTCTGGCCACATCCACCAACCCCTTCATACCTGTGGCAGCCCAAGTCCTGCTTATTCTCAAGCAAAAGGCATCAGTTGTGTCCTCTTTTCAGGCTGCCTGCTGTTATAAGATGCTCCCACTTTCTGGGTACTCGGGAGCCCAGGAGGGGAGTGCTGAACTTTGTAATTCCTTCCTGTTACCTGAACCACATGCTGTCGGTATAATCTCTCCCCGAGGGTCAGCACAATTTACCTAAGCAGCGAATGCAGAGCCAATGCAGCATTTGCAGCTTACACATCAACTTGCGAGCGAGAGCGAAGAGGCACCAGGCATAATTGTGCTCTCCATTATTGTTGAAACCTGTAATTTGTACCTAGCCCGAGGCTAATCTCCCTTGAGAAGAAGGATGCTTGAGGATTTCAGAGCCTACCTAGTCTACTAAAAAGAGAAGAGAGGGGGAGTTGGCAGATAGGAAAACAGAGGGTAATAAACAACCAAAAATACCTCCAAGGCAGCGGGGAGTCATGGGAACATGTTTCCCTGTTTATTCAAAGTGCCAGCTGTACTAAAACCCGGTGCGATTCATCTCATCCTCTTAGCTGTGAATTATTGGTGGCAAGAGCAGCAGTGGAGCAGGTTACTGACCACCTATGAGTAGGCTGTTGTACCTCTGATGATGCCTGCTGCTTGTGTGGGTGGGGATACGGGATTGTTCCCCTCTCCCCGCGCACCAAGCCCCGCTGCCAGTCCCCAGGGAGAAGGTGGTTGATGGGAGAAGCCCCAGGCAGCGCCGGCACAAAGCCAAGCCTGTTCTCTGGCCATTTAGGAGTAGCCTGCAGGCTGCTTGCATGCATCTGTCTTAACCATGCGAAAAAGTCTTGGCAGGGTCATTGCCTGGGTGGTTTTGGAGAAAACAGCTCCATCCTTCAACTCCAAACACTCTGGTGGAGTCAGCAGCTACTGCAACACAAGATGCTCTGAGCAATTTCTTCAGGGTCCTCGGGCACAGTCAGGACCAGGATTACTCGGGATCATTGCAACTCTCAGTCTAGGACCTACCTTTTACCATCTCTGACTAAAACAAAGAATAGCATGGCCTTGGACTGAATTTTCACCAAGATGAGCCAACAGGGAAACAGGTAACTAACAGCTGAGTGTTATTTTTTTTCCTTGGGAATAATTCATATTATTTGTTTGCTTAGCAGCTGCACACTAATAACAACCTCATGACAGAAATGTAAGGCACCAGCAGGAGCAGCTTCATTTTGACATAGGTGCTCTCCTGGCTGCACTATCATTTTTAAACCTGTGTCCCAAGGTAAATCGTTGGCCATTACAAAAGCAACATTTCCCACAAGTGAAAGGAAAGAAAATTCCATTTATGTTAAACTATCCTACAGATGGTTGGGGAGGGAAAGTCACTAAGGAACGGAATAAGAGCGGCAGAATAGCAGGGGCAGGACATTGAAAAAATGAGCTGGACTAAATTTAACCCAGTGAAAGAAAAGCCTGCTGCTAAAAATGTTCCTGCTATCACAAAGAAGGGAAGAGCCCAGAAATGTGAATATGTGAATGGGAGAAAAGGGGCAGAAAGGCTTTCTTTGGGGTCAGGTATGGATTAAAAAGTTAGCGAAATTTTAGCGGTAGGGGCAAAAATCTTCTTTTCACTCATTTTGGCGCATGAGTTTGAGTGAGGTTTCACTGCCTCAGGAAGAGTATCTGAGTCAGAAGCCCTGTCCTCTTCTGCATAAATAGACTGAGACGTTATTTGGTGCGGGGCTGGGAATTGCTGTCCCTAGTTAAGTGTTGCAGAGTAGCACCACTGGAGAGACCCACCTCTAGGATGGAACCTTCTGGGACAGAGGACACATTGGACTGTGCAGAGAGGGCACCAGAGCAATGACACTGTGTGGCCCAACCAGCTGCTCCAAAGAAATGAGAAATGCCACCTTTGTTGCCTCCGGCTTGCAACTCCAGCCCTCAGGCTTTTGTAAAAACGTGTCTAGAAAAATGGGGAAAATGCTCAGTTCTACCCCGAACAGTATTTCTGCATTTTAACTTTGTGTGTGTGTGTGTGTGTGTGTGTGTGTGTGTGTGAAATGCATCTCTGGGGGTTTTGTGGTTCTTTCCACTGAGCCTGCCGCGTGGAGCGGTCACCCACCTATGCAGTGGTGACACCCAGATTCCCTTGAACTCACCCATCCTCTCCATTACAGTTGAAGTCCGGGCACGCCGGGTTGTCCATCCAGGCCATCGTTCCTCTGATCACTGCCAAATCCCAGAGCAAACTGGAGATGATGAGGGCAATATGGTTCTGGCTCTGCCACAACATCGGTAAGTCTGGCCCCACTGTTTCGAAGATGTAAAAAGCCCTTTTTTGATATGCCACCTCCTGGATTTGGGCTCTTCATGCCCTGCAGAATAGAACCTCCACAGCGTTTGTATTGCGGTCATGAACTGAGATGTCGCCCTCCTGATTTCAAGAAAGTGCCTGGAGTAGGAACTTGTTCCCACCACAGGACCCTCCATCCTGGAAATGACACGTACTTCAATGGCACTTGGGTGCCAGACCCCCAGAGACACCAGTTAAAGCCCATCTTGCCTCCAGTGCACTCAGCTTCAACACATCGGAGGCTGTTTCCCTGATAATGCAAATTCGATGAGGCTGAGCTATGCCTGGCAGCAGTCATCTGGGGACACAGGAATCCCAGCACAATGCAGTTGCTTTGTGCTGCTTTACCCTACTACATCCATGTGTGCGAGACAATATCATTGTCACTGTACCTCACTTGAATGGCGCAATGGCTGTTTACATGCACTGGGAACCCAACTCCCCCAAGGCTTTGGCAGTTCTTGGCTCATATGGGGAATTGTCAGACTCCTGAATAATGATGGATAGAAGAGCTGTCATGGCTTCCCGGGTGGGTTGGCAGAGAAATAGGGTTGGGCAGGAGAAGGAATAAGCCCATATGTTGGCCTGAAACTGCGTGGTATTCTCCCTTTCCTAGAATATGATGTGGATGGCTTCTTAGGGCTGTCTCAGAAGATCCACATGCCAGAGCAGGTCCTGCAAACGGGAAGAGCTGTGTGTTCTGGTTATGCCCATTTATGCCAGGAAATGTGCAGGTAAAACCCACTTTGGGCTTTCTTCTCCTGCCTCCTTGAAGATCTGAGGTGGGGACTTACATCTGACACGGGGATTGCCACATAACCAGCATCATTTACCCACTACGTTCCCAGACACAGCAGCTGCCTCCCTCCTCCTCTACTTTTATGGAGGAGATTGATTTGACAGATTAATCGGAACCAGAGATATGAGAGATGGGGGTTGGGAGTAGCTGTGGGGAAAGCCGGGGACTGGATAAAAGGTGACTTTGGCCACCAGCTTGCACGAGAGGGGCCCTGACTTTAAGAAGAAGGAGGTTGTACTTACCACACAGGTTGGGTTGCTCTCCAAGAAAGCAAGCACAAAGCAGTGTTTGGTGTGCAGTTGGTCATCTCTCCTGATGGCTCTTCCCTGGACAGGGAGGCAGGTTTGACCTGCGTGGAGGTCTCGGGGTTTGGCCGGAGCCCGGGCTCCCACAGAGGCCGACGGTGTCGGCAGCAGAAGAGCAGCCACACGTGGAATGCAGTGGAGCTGGAAGGACAGTGGTGCCTCCTGGATGCTTGCTGGGGCGCGGGGACCGTGGATACAGAGAGCAGGTTGTTCGTGCCCAGGTAAGACACCTCTTCCCCTGCCATCACTGCAGACACGGGCCCCCAACACAAATAAATGGACAAGGCTCAACCTGACGTTGGTTACACCCCAGAATGGCCATCCTAACCCTTCCGATATACTCCTTAAAGTCTGGCTTCACCAGCCCTTGAGCCCCTATTTTCAGGTATACCCCCAGAGGCTACTTGCAGAGGGTCCACAGAGATATTTTGCTCATCCTCAACTACGGTGGGTGCTCAGGGACCTCATGCAAACGTGAACTCTCCATCTGTGAACGTCTATGTTAAGTGCTTTATTCCCTGAGCTGGGGCAGTAGCTTTTCAGATGACAACTTCCCCCTGTAACTTGTTTTTAATCTGCAATGAGTGCCACTTACGCAGTAACAAATCCTCATTTTCACAGCAACTTTGCTCTTATGTGGCTCCATATGTAATTACTTGAGATTTCTCAGCCCATGCTAAGCAAATAACGACTCTCATGAAAGATATTTGTACAACTTAATAATTTCCATTAACTGTATTATGGGATTGCATTTTTTTTTCTTGAATAATGTATAATGAAATAATTGTGGAATTTCTAATAGGTAATTATCTTGCTGAGAACAGTTTAAAACACCAGTGAGAGTGGGTTGTTTTTAGCTGAGCATGGGGAAAAGAGAAGAAAGAGAATCAAACATCACCTAGAGCAACAGGCAGAAATGATAGCTTCTTGTGGGTCCAACACAGTGTCCTCAAAACCTTCAGGTCAACTGATGCAAGAGGGTTTCACAGGATGACCCCAATACAGGGCTGAGCATACATCTACAGGTCGACCCCCTGAGCAAACACCTAAGCAGGAGTGATGTTTGGAAAGTTAAGTTAGGCACATTCAAATTGGAACAAAGATGCGTTTGTTTGTTTGTTTGTTTGTTTTCTTAAGTCATATGTAAATTCTTGGAAGAGCCTTAAACCAAGACCAGATGTCATACTGAAATATATCTTCAAGTAACAAGCCTTGGTAGAGGAATCACTCAATAAAATTATCTCCTCTGCAGCTCATAGGGTCACCTTAACTGGTTGCTGGAAGAGGACTCAGAAGTGCAGGGCTCAGAAGTGCAATTTCAGCTTTGGGCATCTCTATGGGAAAAATAGAAAGAAAATAAGGGCAGCAGAAAATTAAGTGCCAAACGAGAGCTCGGTCCTCCCTTACTGAAGTTGGCGTGGAGGAAGCTCCCTTCCTGAACAGCCGTGCCTCCTGACCGCTCGGGATGCTGAGGGTTTTCTTGCTCCTTGAACAGTGTCTTCTGCTCTCACCTTGCAGGTATGATGATTTTTTCTTCCTTACTGACCCTGAGCACTTCATTGAGACCCACTGGCCAGAGGACCCCCAATGGCAGCTTCTGCAGCCCCCTGTCTTGCGGGAAGACTTTGAGCAGAGAGTATTTAAAACTTCAGAGTTTTTCAGACTTCAGCTCTCCCTCCTTTCTCCAAACACTTCCCTCCTCAAAACAGGTAAATTCAAAGCAGGAGCTAAATTCTAGTAATATAAAGCCCACTTGCTTTTAAAGAATACGTTTGGGTTGAGGAAAACATTTCTCCTTCAGTTATGGCCCATCTGTCTATTTTTATGCACATGTACATCTAGTAGAGCAGAGGCACATATTTAACCAATTTCTGAAATCACAGATACTGTGTGATACTGTGATTAGTAAACTGGGAATCAGGATTCATAAATTTTAGTTAATTGAGCCAAATCACTTAAGCCCTTTTATGTCTGGTTTTTCCTATCTAAATTCACCAACAGTAGCAAAACAGGTTCAAGATACCTAAGACACAATCCTCATTGTGTTCATAAGCTGAGGAGGGAGACTCCCAGACCAAAGATGGCCTGAAACTTTCATGTCCCATTTTCTGAAAATGAAAGCGGGGTGGGGGGTGGAATTAGTTTTCCTTGATTGTAGTTTTATGATGATTTTTCAGGTTGGATACAACACAGTCTTTTTACCTGGACAGCCTTCGTCCATTCATTCCCCTGGATGGTCCCAAGAGTATATGGATTTTTCCTGCAATTTATTTTATCAAGACAGCGAGCTAGGAGATAGAGCAATCTCAGGTTGAGGGGAGCTGCCAGGCTTACAGAAAAATGAATGTAGAACAGACAAGGCACACCGGAAAGCTTTTGACTGAGAGAGGTTATTATTTATCCAGAAATCAAACTCTTCCAGTATTTTTAGGATGCTGGGGCTTTGCTGAGATGGGCTATCACACAGCTTTTGAGCGGTGAGCGGCCTGTGCAAATCAAATTAAATTTGGGACAGCTGAAAGGTTGATGCTGCCTTTTATGCAGCATTATGGGGACTTTGCCAGGCAGGTACTGTGTGACCTTGAGGAGGGGCAGGAAAAGTCCCCTCCCCAGCACTCTCTGAGGTTCTGTGGTGGAGAAGCACCACGAGATCTTTGAAGACTTGGAAAAACCCCTTTCAGGTCCAGGCCACCAGGGAGGTTCCGAGGCATAAAACCAAACAACACAACATTTGCAGTCTCGGGGGAAAAACAGGAGATCAGTAGTCCAACCAGTCCTTTCATCTGTGTGCCAAAGCGATAAATTGCAAAACACAGACTCCTACCAAAAACCATTAGTGGTGGTACAAAAGCCCAAAGGGAAGAATGAGGAAAAATAAGTATTTCATTATTCTCTACCCTCCCTCCCCCAGTTTTTGATAGCCAAGAGACAGCGATGAAGCCCAGAAGCAGCTCAGGGCTTTGTATCCTCACTGGCCACTGGCTACCACGAGTCAAAACAGATCCGGGGAGAGATGTTAGGAAGCAGACCTGCCTGGCCCATCCCAGCTACATCACTCCCTACATCACGCCCTTGGCTGGAGGAACTCCTGTCCCTCAGCCACAAAACTCCCTGGATGACATGGGCTACAGGCAGAGTTTTCTTTTTCCCTCCAAAACTGAGAGGAAAGGAGATCTTTCCATTAGAACAGGAAAAATAGCTCAACTTTTTTTCCCCTCTTGTGACTTTCTCATCTTGTGGAGGGAAAGAACTGTATTCCCGGACCTAACCTGAACACTTTAACTACTGCAATTAGTCTCAACAGCCAGCCTCATATCAGGAATGTGCTTAAAACACCAAATTGCAAACCCAGATTGTGAACCAAAACAGAGGTCTGCTTTTGTTGATGCAAATTTATGGTTATATTGATCTACATTGGTGGAAGTAAGCCATCACCTTACAGGGTACGCTTAAGCATCTAAGGCAATCTCAGTGCAAAAATGCTGGAGATCTTTGGTGCAAAATCAGCCTATTTTCCCTCTTTGGCTACTGCGAATCAATCCCTGTCCTATCATACTTGAGCAGCTCCCATCTGCTTAAAACGCTTAAAAGCTTTCAGCCAAGATTCCTCCCACAAATCACTATCTGATGGGCACTGAAGGTGGGACACCTTGCAAAGGGACCTGATTTTCAGGAAATACCTGGCATCCATCCTCTGAAAACCCAACCCTTTTAATTGCCAACATTGCCCAGGCTGTCAGGGTTGGTAACTATGGCAGTGAAGGGCATTCAGTCCTATGGAATTAAGACTTTTTTTTTTTTTTTTTTTGTATAGAAAGGCAGTCATTGGTGGCATGCTGCAGATACAATAGCTAGGGTGGGAGAGGGGAAGGGAAACCTTTGAAACAAGGCTTTGAGAAATTAGAAACATGCCTGTACTTTAATGGTGGTTTTCCCCCCCAAACAATTAATGCAACATACATTGACCTCCTGCAGCACTGAGCGTGCTGACATGGGAACACATCCCTAGCTTCACCTGGCCTCCCTGGAAACCAGGAATCTCTAGCGCATGGCTTGAATTAACTCAATAAAACAAACAAATGTTTGTTTTAAACGTAGCCATTAATTATCTCCTTGGGTCTCCTTCCCAAAGCGAAATACGTTGCTGGCTTCCCTATCTCATCATCGCTGGCTCCGCTACATACAATGTTCTGTTCTTTTCTTTCTTCCTAAAGATCCTAATACGATGCAGCCGGCCAGGCCAGCAGCTTCGGAAACTAGCATAGAGAGAATTTAATAACAAGCAAACCTGCAGTTAATAAAGTCTGTCATCAGTAATGTCTCCACTGAACATTTGCCAGGAGAGAATTGTTTGCACTTACTGTGTGAGCCAAGTCACAGCTTTAACAGGCAAGGCACAAATAAAACCCAGCCTTCCCATTCTTTTCACATCTCCGTTTCAACCTACCAATAAAAACTGTGGGGCAAACAATGAAAATATCCAAATTCAAACAAAAAAAAAAAAAAAAAAAAAGCCGTTTCCCCCCCCCCCTCATTATTCATTAGATTATGAAACACGTTTCATAATCTAATAATTAGCAAGAGACAATTTTTTCAGCATGAATCTGGAGTCTTTTGTCATTCTGTGTTAGCACCCAAAACAAATGAACATTGTGCACAGCGCGGGTGCCGATACCAGCCGTGGGCTCCCGCCGTGCCATTGCTCAGTACTCCCCTCTCGCCGGCAAAAATGTGGTGAGGATGGGACGACGCAGAGCAGCCGCACTCCGGACAGGAGACAAGCCATCCTTGGGCACTTAGGGACCCCTGGGTAACGAAGGGCAGGCTTAATTTTCACAGACCTTGAGGATGGTGGGTTTAAACACGCATCTCAGTACGTCTGTGTGCCAGTGCCAGGCTCTGGGAAGCACTCTGGGACCCTTCAAGGGCAAAAGGACTCAAAATCTTCTTCCCCGTGGCCCTTTTTCTCATGCCTTCATCTACACCTGGAGAAAAAAAAAAAAAAAAAAAAAGGTAGAAAATACCATAAAGCCAGGGTTTTCTAGTCAGGCTGCCCCAGTACCTGTGGCTTCACATGGGATGATGTAGCTCACCACGTGCTGAAAGCAGCCTGCTGTCTGCTGGTTAAGCAGTCCCATCTTCTCCAGGGCCAAGGCTTCAGGGCTTGCGAAACCTTGCCTTGTCTCCATTGCAAAATCAACCAACCGCCCCTTCTGCCCGGGGAGCAGATGGAAATCCCCCCCGGGAGGGCTGGCTGCACCGGGGAGCGCTCGCTCGCCCCGCGGTATGGGCTTACGAGCAGCAAGGTGGGGGCACGGGGAGGGTGGGAGTGAAACGGAATCCACCCCCACGATTCCCCTCCACGGTGACCTCCCCTGGAGGTGTTCCCTTTCTGGGTGTGAAGGTGGGTTCGCGTTGGGTTTCAAGGCGCCTACTCTGCTCTGCCTGGGGGAGCGGGTTGGTTTGCTGCTGGGGAGGCAGTGGGCGGTGTGTGGTGGCCCTGAGCCACCACACACCCAAGGAACAAAGTGATTGGGAAAGAGCCCCAGCACTTACCCACCAACCATGGTACCACCAGCAGGTACCTGTACCGACGCATCTCTCCTTTGGACCTCCTCCTCTCCCTTCCCCCCTGGTTAGCACAAACTCCAAGCCTGAATCTTACGGATTTTTCTGATTTGGTGAGGCCAAAATTTAGATAAAACATTTTAATAGTAATGAGAAAAATCACATTCATTCCTAAAATGCGTCAGTGATGTGGGATCTCCTACCAGCCAGGCTGAGATATTTTGATCCTCCCAGCTGCTTTGTTGGTTTGACACCACAGTATAAGACCCGCAGCTTAGAGGAATGACTCCAGCTGAAGAAGCCATCCAAGAATTAGCCTGTATGGGACACCATTTGCTTAGATTTGGGTGTCTCAGAGCCCAAAGGATAACTATTTTTACCCGTTCCCTTCATCTCCAGATGTAGTGGTATCATCATTTCTTTTTCAGCAAGGGAAGAAAAACTTTAAAAGGTGAAAAAGAGTCTTGCTAAGGTCCTTCAGCAAGTAGAGACAGAAAGAGGAGAATCAGGTCCCTGTCTCCTGTGCAGTTGATTTGATTCAGCACTGCAAAAGCGAACATGTTACACTGTTGATGGAGGGGTTGTAAAAGGTGTTTTGTTCACCCTTCTACAGCCCATGGGGAGGTGTCAGTGATGCTGGGGAGCACCCGCCCAACAGAGTTCACCTACCAGCTCTCCAGACTCCAGGGCACCACAAATGGAGAGGACGTAGGCGCAGTTCACGCGATGATGATGGTGTCTGAGAACAACATGACCATCAAGGTGACTCCCCCAACCAAGGGCTTGTTTGACCTCATGATCTTCGCCCGCCACGCTGACTCTCAGGACCCTTACAACTGGGTGTGCTCCTATCAGATCCAATGCCTGGAGCCACACAACGGAGAGAAAATGCCTGAAAACCCTTTTCATTTCTGGGGCCTTCACCAAAAAGTGAAAGATTTTGGCATCAAGGAGAGCAGCCACAAAGGGGAGTTGCTTGTGGCTCCGAAGGGAACTTTGATCTTGACTCTCCAGATATCCCGACCCTTGCTTGCCATGTACGAGCTGGTTAATAAAGATTTAGACACTGCTCTGAGCAAGAAATGTCTGGCTGCTCAAGCAGAGGAGGAGAAGCTCAGTTGCCACGTGCTCTGCCCTTTCCAGGGTTACTACCGGCTCTCCGTGTTCGTGAAAGATTTAGGAGGCATCACGTTCAGGAACGTGGCCAATTTCCTCGTTCATTGTTTGAGGCCTGTCAACCAGAACGAACTCTTCCCCTCGGGACTGAGCTTGCACTGCGGGAGTGGGATCAGCGCCAGCAGCCACGGCCTCTCCAACCCCAGCCACTCTGCCCCCATCATCACCACCCGGGTGGGGAAGTGCAACATCACCTTCCACGCGCCCGCCAACGTCGAGCTGACTGCCAGCTTGAGTAAGGACAAAGTCATCAACGCCAAGTACCCCTTGGAGAGGTACGTCCTGGTCACCCACCTGAGGACTAAAGTCAGCGTGTGTGTTGTGCTCCCCGAGCCAGGTGTCTACAAAGTGGGGCTTTTTGGGAGAAGCAAGGACCACAAGGACTTTGTCCATATTTGTGACTACGTGATACGCTGCTTCTCCGATCCCCGCTGGCCTCCCTTCCCCAGGGTGTACAGCCCGTGGAGGAGAGGCTGCGTACTGCTAGAGCCACGCACGGGGATGCTCCAAGAGCAGAGCTGGGTCCGGTTCAGGGTCAAGGTGCCAAAAGCCTACCAAGCCGTCGTCCTCGGGCAGGAGAAGACGACGCTGCAGCAGAACCCGGACGCGATCTGGGAAGGGGATGTGCTCACCGGGGCCGTGGGGACGCAGGTCAAGCTGGCGGCCAAGTTCAGCCGGCACTGCTCCTCCCTGGAGGTCATCCTGGCGTTTGAGGTGGAAAGGGGCTCACCCGCCTCCCTGGGGTGCTCGGGGTAAGCCACGGAACTGCTGGAAATGGTTAAAAAAAAAAAAGCCAGGGAAGGAAGCAAATGCTCTCAAAATTGGGTGATGTTGAGGAGACACCGAGAAAACTCCCAGAACTTTGTGGCACGTCGGGGGGGGGGGGGGGGGGGGGGGGGGGGGGGGGGGGGGGCCGCGTGTTGCCTGCAGAACTTTTCATCCCGCAGGATATCCAGATACTTGCTGAGGCCTCCTATCCCACTCAGAGATTTTGCTGCCATTTAAATCAGCACCAACATATGGAAGGCTCCTAATACTTTGCTTCTGTCAGAGGAAACCATTGTTCAGCTTCTCTACAGGAAGGATGTCTCACTGCTTATTACCAGCTTGAATAATTGTTTGGAATGTTTTATTTGACATTTATTCAAGAACTTGGAAAACCACATAGTTTCTTTCTCTTGAGAGGATAACAACAACAACCACCAAAAAAAAAAAAAAAAAAAAAACAACAACCAAAAAAAGCCCAAACTGGAGCCAACAGCTTCAAGATAGTAGCAAGTTTGTTTGGTTTTTTTTTTAAATAAATGTATATTAAAGCAAATAAGACCTCCTTGCAGAGAGACTCTGTGCTTGGACAGAGGAAAGGAAGTAAAGAAATGCTGTAATTTATCATTTATGTCTTTAAAATATTTTCCAAGTCTTCATTATCAAGGATTACATGTAGATATATACTTAAGAGCACTAAAGGCTTGAAACAAAGAGAGGGAACAGGGAAGGAAGCAGGTCTGTAGCCAAAGCACCTAATTGCTGAGCAGAAAGCACAGGCAACTCTGATCTTAAACTCTGACACATGCTGCCTGTAAGGCACCACAAATGCTGTCTTACTGAAAGCAAGCTTGATTTTCATACTCGGATGAGCTAGAAGATACACAGTGGAAATACTTCTCCATGCCTGCATTGGATTGATGCTTGAAAGAGGGATTCTGCTTGCAATAATGAAGAACAAGAACTGTGGGTGATTTCTGGATGCTACACAAAAGGTAGTGGGGGAACACGGTCTGCTTTCTTCAGGTCTGGTGATTTAAATTTGACTTAAGGCAAAAGTTCAAGTAGATTTGAACCTTTATTGAGTCTGGAAATTAGTTAATGTAGATAATGTATCATAATCCACATTTCGCACTAAACTTGATGGAACCATACTGACATTTGGGAAGATTCCCCCAAAGAACAAACTGCAGGGACTACTTTGAACTAAGAGAAGAACTTGCAACGGTAGATGTAGGCTGAACTGCTGCCTGTGGTGCTAGAAAATAATTTAAGAAGTACAGATCCCTAGATCTTTCTCTTCTGACACATGTTCTGGCTACTCCATACTGGGCCATGCACTTGGATGGATAAGGGAAAGAGAAGCACAGCGTGACCCAGCTCACGCAGTGAAATTATGTCTGCAGACCCACCAGGCTCACAAAGACTGTATTTCCCCTTATGTTTTGCAGAAGGATTTTGGTTAGGCAAACAAAAATGACTGACGAGTGAAACGCCTCTCAGTTCCCACTGCCATCTTCCCCTCCGCATCCTTTTCCTTTCCAGTCAGCTTTGCTGTTAACTTTTACCAGCTGTGCCCCTCGGACCCTCCTGAGCCACTCTACGTATCTGTGTGCACACACACGTCGTTAGCTGAAACTGTCCCACCTTTCCCCAGATTTAAGCAGGCAGGTCATGATCACACGCCTCCAGGGAAAATCCAGCTTCCAGCTCAGTGATTAATTCCTCTTTTATCCATCTTAATGAGGTCCAGATTAGAGTTACCTTGAATCGGGGTCCAAACAATTTATGTCAGAATATAATTACCTGGAGGTGCTGAGAACTTTAATGATACTCCCACGGGGGATTTTTCACTTCAAGTGTCTGAAGTCAATCTACTCATATTTCCTCTCTGTGCACACTCGGGTATAGCATGTAACCTACTTTAAATGTCATTCTTATTTAGAGTTACATACCTCAAAACCTGTGCCTGCAGCTCTAGGAGCCCTCGCTATAAACACGAGCATCAACTCTCCAAAAATAACAACCCTGGGGCAAGTGTCAACCATGAAAAAAGAATGATAAGCAGAAGAACAAACCCGTGTGTCTCTCCCCCTGTTGCCCCCTCTGCCCAGCAAGATTAAATTAGGTAAAGATAGATTACAACACCTACCTGCAGCTATAAAACACACCTAGTTCTGAGCCAACTTAGTTCAGAAAGTCATTAGGAGACCTCCAGGCATGCATCAAGGTGCAGATGGCCAAAAAACAAACGGGAGTGTGGTGGGTTGACCCTGGCTGGACACCAGGTGCCCACTAAAGCTGCTCTGTCGCCCCTCCTCAGCTGGGCAGGGGAGAGAATATAACAAAAGGCCCCTGGGTTGAGATAAGGACAGGGAGAGATCACTCACCACTTACCGTCACAGGCAAAACAGACTCAACGTGGGGAAATTAGTTTCGTTTATTACCAATCAAATCAAAGTAGGATAAGAATAAATAAAATAAAATCTTTAAAACACCTTCCCCCCTCTTTCCCTTCCTTCCCAGTGTCATGAATTAGGCCTGGTTGTCAGCCAACCACAATGCAGCAGCTCTCTCTCCCTTCCCCTCCGGCAATGAGAAGGGACAGAGAGCCAGGCTTGGGGTTCAAGATAGGACTGGGATGGGGAGAAAATTCCCCTTTATAGTCACGGGCAAAAGGCAGACTCATTAGGGGAAGAAAAAAAGAACATACATTTATTACAGACACTAACAACACATAACAGAGTAGGACAGTGGGAAGCATTGCCACATCTTGAGAACACCTTCCCCCCACCCCTCCCTTCTTCCCGGGCTCAGCTCTGCTCCCGATATCTCTACCTCCTCCCCCAGTGGCGCAGGGGCAGGGAATGGGGGGTGCAGTCAGCGCTGCCACTTCCTTCATCTTCGGTGAGGGGAGTGTCCGGAACTTGTTCCTCCTGCTCCATCGTGGTCCCCCTCTCACAGGAGACAGTCCTCCACAAACTTTCTCCGACGCGAGTCCCTCCCACGGGCCGCAGCGTTCCCCACACTGCTCCGTCATGGGTCACTAACTTCCTCCGACTGGATTCCCTCCCACGGCTGCAGCCCTTCCCGAGCTGCTCCGGCGTGGGACTCCCCCACATGCTGCAATCCTCCCAGCACTGAATTACAGCAGTGGGGCTGCCTTTTCCCATGAGACCCCGGCCTTCTTCAGGCACAGCACCTTGATCAGGTAGAAGCCACAGGCCATAAATCAGTGTCTGCTCCACCGTAGATCTCCATGGGTGGCAGGGGGGGCCGCCCTGCCGTCTCCCCACAGGATACAGGGGGGTCTCTGCTCTGGCACACCTCCCCCCTCCTTTCTTCCTCCGTTCCTCCACTGACCTTGGTGTTCACGCAGCTGCAGCAACTCCTCCTCACCAGTCCCACTGCCCGTCACCACGTCCCTTCTTAAATACGTTATCGCAGAGGTGCAGCTGATGGGCTCAATTTCCCAAACAGAAGTGGAGCTGACGTGGAGCTGGGGGAGCTTCGAGAAGCTTCTCACAGGGGGCCGCCCCGATAGCCCCCTCCCCTGCCACCAAAAAACTCCACCACTCACTCAACCCAGGACACCCAGGCTCAGCTTTGCTCCCAGTTTCTCTCCCTCCTCCCCTCCAGCAGCGCAGGGGGATGGAGAATGGGGGTTGCAGTCAGTCCATCACCCATTGTTCCTGCTGCTCCTTCCTCCCCAGGGGGAGGACTCCTCACACTCCTCCCCTGCTCCAGCGTGGGGTCCCTCCCACGGGAGACAGTCCTCCACGGACTTCTCCAACCTGAGTCTTTCCCACGGGCTGCAGCTCTTCATGAACTGTCCCAGTGTGGGTCCCCCCCAGGCTCACCAGTCCTGCCAGCAAACCTGCTCCAGCGTGGGCTCCTCTCTGCACGAGGCCACGGGTCCTGCCAGGAGCCTGCTCCAGCGTGGGCTTCCCACGGGGTCCCGGCCTCCTTTGGGCATCCCCCTGCTCGGGTGGGGGGTCCCCCCCGGGCTGCAGGTGGAGATCTGCTCCTCCACGGGCGCAGGGCACAGCCTGCCTCACCATGGTCTTCCCCACGGGCTGCAGGGGCACCTCTGCTCCGGCGCCTGGAGCACCTCCTCCCCCTCCTTCTTCTCTGCCCTGGGTGTCCACAGAGTTGTTGCTCTCACGTATTCTCGCTCCTCTCTGGCTGTTGTGCAGGTTTTTTTTTTTCCCCTTCTTAAATACCTTACCCCAGAGGCGCTACCACCATCGCTGCTGGGCTCAGCCTTGGCCAGCGCTGGGTCCGTCTCGGAGCCAGCTGGAATTGGCTCTGTCAGACGTGGGGGAAGCTTCCAGCAGCTTCTCACAGAAACCACCCCTGCAGCCCCCCCCCTCTGCTACCAAAACCTTGTCACACAAACCCACTAAAAGGAGGCTGCACCCAACTCTATAAACCATCTCGGTTGAGAGATTCCCTTACAATCAAAGTCAAAGCAGGTAAGACCAGGAAAGGCTGAACCAGAAACCTGCATACTAAAAATGCTGGCCTTTCCTAAGTACAGTAAGACAATAGTCACCAGATGGACTGAGCTTTTAACTTCCTCTATGGACCCACCCATGTTGTCCACCAAATGTTGGGCCCAGACTCCTTGGTTTTACACATTTCCTTGCACTGCGCTTGTGTTTATCTTGTCGTTAACATAAATTACATCAATATTTGTTTAGGCTGAATTTATCCAATGAGGCTGTACCATTGAGGTGTCCATGCAAACTGTGTTTTCTTCGGCTTCTTGTGTTTCTTCAGTTCAGTGTTATTAAAACTTGACACTGCCATCCTTTCCAACCCGTATTTGGGCTTCACTGAGTGTATTGGGTGGGGAGTGAGGGTGTTGGAGTTTGCAGAAAAAACAGAGATACATAATTACCTGTCAGACTGCATCAAATGAGGACATGAGTCAGGCTTCCCCTTTGCTTGCTACAGCTGGGATGAACTGTATGCTCAGAGCACAGCCCTGTCCGTATGCGTCCAGGAGTTTTCTAGACCAGGAGGGTCACACCAAGGCTGCAGTGCTGCAAGTTGGCGCGGCAATGTGACAACTTCTTCCACCCTTGGAGCAGGTCTTGGCTG